GCTCTTTGGAGTTCTGCAAGCGTCCTATGTAACTGCATTGGGATTTGCTGATGGGTAGATATCACTTTGTGGAGAATATATATTCAACAGGATCAGTGCAAAGTTAAAATATTAGACTGTCCTTCCATTGAGGAGAAATGCACTCTGTGTAAGATCAGGAGTCTGTTTACCACTTTGAGGTCTCAATGTGCAATCAGAGTAGCTAGTTTGCCTTTTGTTATTTTTCCTGCTGTGGTTCATTCCCCAACTGTTCTATGTGTAATCTAACTCATTCATACTTTCTTTTGAAAATACCCTTTCTTTCTTCAGCCTGACTTTTTCTTATTCTTTAAATAAAATAAAATAAAATAAAAAAATAAAATAAAAAATAAAAATAAAATAAAATAAAATAAAATAAAAACTTCTCCACATTTGATGAGCTTATTGGGCGTGTGGGTGGAGAATGTAAAAAAAGGTAAAGGTTCTCCTTGACATTTTAGTCAGTCGTGTTGGACCCTAGGGGGCGGTGCTCATCCCCGTTTCCAAGCCATAGAGCCAGCATTTGTCTGAAGACAGTTTCCGTTGTCACGTGGCCAGCGCGGCTATACACGGAACACTGTTTGCCTTCCCACCAAGGTAGTACCTATTTATCTACTCGCATTTACATACTTTCAAACTGCTAGCTTGGCGAGGAGCTGGGACAAAGTGACGGGAGCTCACTCCGTCGTGTAGATTCAATCTTATGACTGCTGGTCTTCTGACCCTGCAGCACACACAAAGGCTTCTGTGGTTTAGCCGCAGCGCCACCACGTCCCTCGTGTGGGTGGAGAAAGTTGATCCCAAATCCAGTCTTGACTCCTTGATCAGCAATCAAATTAAGTGGTTAAGTAGTGTTGGCCAAGGTCAGGTCTGCAAGAATGGCATGTGGCTGTGAGGGGAGTGAGTTATTGGGTTTACAGACCTGGGGTGTTGCTCATGTTAGCAAGGGGTGAGCAGAGGTGGGAGCAAATGCCAGGAGGCTCAGAGTTTAGGCACCTAGTCTTTTATGGATCAAGGCATTTTGAGGCAAGCAAAAGGTTGTTTATCTTGCCTGACAGGCAACACCTGAGGGGAGGGCTCTCAGTGTATCAGTAACTATGTCTGGATAGGGCCTCTCTGGCAAAGGTGCCATTTGCATATGGACACTGACCTGCTGGATAGCTCAGGAGTTTAAGTATCAGACTGTGGAGCGAAGGATTGGGAGTTCAATTCCCCACTGTGCCCCCTATCAGGGGCTGGTCTCAGCGATCCATAGGGTCCCTTCTCGTTCGACAGTTGGATGATATCAAATTATAAACTGGCCAAAGACACTTCTGGTGGCTATTACTGCATAAACTGCAGAGAATCAGTGCATCTAAAATGCTCTCCAAACCATGGAATGACAGGTGGCATGAAACAATATGTTTTTGTCATACTTGCACTAGTTCCTAGACATAGCAAATGAGTAATGAAACAATCAAGTCTAAATGTGTCATGGAAGTGTGCACACATAGACAAGGTAGAGGAGAGCAAATATTTCAGGTTCATCAGGAAAAAAAAGATAACATAAATATGTCAATATTTGTGTTGAGCTCCAGTGTTTCCTAATGCATTCTTGTATTATTTGTTTCTTTTATTCTAGGTAAGTGGAGAACATACATGTAAACGTATCGTGATGAGTGAGAATTTCTCCATGGAGACAGAACTTTTGAATCTTTCAAATGGTAACAATGTTCTATTTTGATGTGATTACAGTGCATACTCTTTGTACATACAATTGTCACCATTATGTGTGCAAACCATAATTTTTTTAGCACAAAGAATGTGCCAAAATATGTTGAACCAGAGGCAGAATGAATAAAGAGGAATTCAGCAGTACTAAGGGCCAAAGTACACACAGTACAGAACTGTGTCCGTTTTTTTCTTTCTTTAATTGCAAGCATGAAGACAACACAGTGCATGGAAGTTTAATAATTTCTTCTCCAACTTCCATCATAATCAACCTCCCCCAATGCAGTTATGAAAATCAGAAAACCTCACAATCAAGGCAAAAACCCATTTTCATTGAATTAAACCTCCCCATCTTTCTGCACTCCCACAGAAGATTAGCCCCTAATAATTACATTTTATAAACAGAAGTAGTTCCTAATGATGCATTTAATCATATATCGTGAAATTTACTTTGGAGACTGATGAGCCCCCATCATTATAAGACTGACCCTCACATTACAGCCAGAAGGGTAATATAGAAGCCCTATCAGTGGTCTGCTGTTCTATACTGCATCAACTCACTAATCACTATGCAGTGGTAACACTCTCTGATGCCAAGTACAGAGTCTTCTGCTCGAGAGTAGCTGATCTGCGTCCAGGGTGTTAGCTGTTTCCTAAGCATTTAATAGCCTGGCCATGGTTGAGAGGAAATCCCATTGCAATGTGGCTTTTTAAAACATGCTTTCAGCACACTGATGAACACTCTTAACTTTGGCAAACCTGCATTTGGATTACAAAATGCACACAGGCTTCCCTAAATTCCTAACTCATTGAAGCACACAAATCAAGAAGCAATGTAAGAATGGTGGGCAGCTTTGATTTATTTCTTTAATGAAGTTATTAAATGTAGGTTTGTATTTGTCTACTGGTTGTTGACCACCCACCCCTGACTCAACGTATGTGGGAAAGCCTTTGGAGTCATTAACTAACACTGCTCTTGCCATTTTAGAAAGCTTCCTTCCTGAGGATAATTACAGAATAATATCCTAGTACTGAATGGCCACTTTTCTCTCTCTGTCCCCAGACTGCCTCCGGTCTGTTGCCTAGCTACAAGAACAAAGTGTTCATTTAACATTTAACTAATTCTAAACAATGTTTGGTAGGCAAAAGTGCCTCTTTTTTTTCTTTCTTTCAACTTATGCCAGCTTAGAAAATGGCATCTCAATGGTGCTTGGATGTTAGTTGAAGCTTTTCAACTGGAAGGAAGCAGTGTAGCAATGTCTGCATGCTTTGTTAGAAACATTTCCAAAGGAAGATTCTCAACTTGGCCAAGGTTGACAGGATTCAAGGAAGAACTGCAGAGAAACATTTGAGGGAATAAAACTCTGACACGCAGTCCGATGATACGGAGTAATATTGCAACCATGCTATTACGTAGAGAAATGCGGGTAAAGAAACACTGCAGCTAGAGATGCCATGAAGGTTTTCTAGACAGCTACCATGCATACTAAGGGAAAGGAAGGTGACCCCCTCCCAAATATTCCATTTACAGATATTGCACTTACTTATATTGCAGTGGTTGCCAAACTCAGCTAACTCAGGTGTTGTTGGACTGCAACTCCCAGAAACCCCAGCCAGTGCAGCTGTTTGTAAAGGCTTCTGGGAATTACAGTCCAAGAATACCTGGGTTGGCAACCACTGATATAATGCATTACAACTTGCATTAGAACACACATACAAAAAGATCACGGTTGCCTAGAACTGGCGCAAAAGCAAGCTGATTAGTCAACAGTACCAGGTAGGAAGCTATGAGAAACAAAAGGCTGGTACCTTGTAATAATAAGCTACTTGGCCTACTGCTTTGAAAAAGGAAATTGGATGATTGATAAGCAGGCATCATTCATAATAGCAAGCTGGTTGATACAAGGTACAGAGAGGAAAAGTAGACTACCACTCATCCTAACAGTGAAACAAAAGCTTGTGTTAACCTATCTGCAAACAGATGCAAAGCCATCTGCTTTACAGGTGCTGTTTTACTGTAATTTCTTGCATTAAAGCAGGACACAGAGCAGCTGCTGGCCAGGCAGTGCTAGGAGGCTTCCCACCACTACCAACAGTGTTGGGGACGGAGCAGCATCTTGCCCGCTTGATAAACAGTGAAAACAGATCTGCTGAAGCTACCTGTCTCCACAAGAACAATGTCATCAGCCAGCCAGTGCAGAGATTATCTGAAAAGCCTCCCAGCACTAGCTGGCCAGTAATGGAAGCCTTGGTGCAATTTTAAAAAGTGTGCATTGGTGCCATTAAATCCCAACAGAGCCTGTGTGAGCCAATTGGATGGTGTTGGGATTTGGACTGTTTGAATGTCTTGAATGCCTTCTGACTGTTTTGCACACATGTAGACTGAATTTCTGGAAAGCTGCTAGGTGCAGTTACTATGTGTGGAGATGTGCTTAGAAAACTGCCCACCCAGTCAGGACTATGGACTGTTTACTCATCTTAGGAAAACTGAGCTTTTGCTTGTACTAAGAAGGACTGAATTTCTTGTCAGGAGGCACTATTGGATTTGCTACAGCATTGTGGTTCTTGCAGATCTGGCTCAGAAGATCAGAATACATTTTTCTCAAAATGTATGTTTATCTCTTGAAAAAATGGCAGTTGTAAATGAGCAATACCGTTGTTTATTTTTCTGTTCATCATGCAGTGTGCCAAGCTATTGTGTTGGTGTGGCTGACTGCCAAAGTAGTTATAGATCATATAGATTTCAATAACAAGTTGCTCAGCTTCCCCACCCCGGTTTGGAAGGATTCACTCATTTGATCCTCTGTTTTTTAAAGTACAGTTAAGATAGATTTCTGTGCATTTAAATAGACAATAATGTGCAATAATGCTGAAATCCACATTAATGTTCAAGATAGCAGTTTTTCTTTAAAAAGTCATATCTATCACTGTTGTAAATGTTGAGAGCAAAGACAGAGGAGATCCTTCTCTTGCTTGGATAATGTGAACTTATTTAATTTTGAGCCAGGGTACAGAGTTGTCCAGTCAAACGCTGTGCAAAAAAGGCTTATGGTACATAAAGAACAGTGAAAATGTAGTAAGGAAAAACAAGCAGGCAAAGACCTTTCTTTTCAGGCAGGCTTTCCCTTAATAGCTGGTGAGATGAGTTTTAAATTGATTGTTGTGCTCTGTTGTTTTAAATGTGTTTTAGTATTGATTTTATTACCATTTTAAATATACTTTTTAAATTAATTTTAAATATTTGTATACCTACTGTTTCCAGCTTTTAAATATTGTCTTTTAATGACGCAAACTGCCTTGGGGTCTTTTTAAAGAAAAAGGTGGCATAAAATATTTTAAGTAAAGAAAGAAAGAAAGAAATGTATAGAAAATAGCATTTCAATATATGTCACTAGGAAATAGACTTGCAAAAAATGTGATTATTAGGCAAAACTACAAACACAAAATTCATACATGTGAAAAAGTATGTCCAAAGTATGTCCAAATGTTCATGCAAATGTTTTTTTTCCAAGTCGCAGATTGACAAACCAAACTTAATCTTAGAAAGTAGAAACTGAAAAAAAGTGCAGGTGACCAATTCATCCATACCCAGTTCTAGGCATATGATATGAAAGGCTCTGATGCAAAAAATAAGCAAAATTTAGCACTTGGCTGAACACGTACCAGTGTTTTCAAAAACGTGACAGTATGTAGAGGTTCTGCCTCTGGCTCGTCAAATATGTAATAAATGGCAGCCAAGCAAACCATAGTAATCAAACTCATGTTTAAGCATTATAATGGTACAATTTATATGCTATTATGTGAATACAAGCATGAATGTTAATGAACAAGGCAGGGAAGAAGCACCACCTTTGATGTACAAGAAATGTCCAGGGGGCTATCTGAAACACTGATGCACTAAATTTGTAACCCCAAGGTACTTGCTGCTGAGTGGCATACAACCCTGTGAAAAAAAAGGCTTTCAATCCTGCATTTTTCAGTGGCTGTTCTTCTGTTCTCTCCCATGGTTTCAGAACCATTTTGTCATCTCTGTTTGGGTCTGGTTAGGCAGCTCAGTCATCTGAATCTAGGAAGATTTGGAGGAGGGGTGCAGTGGTGATTTAAGCACAGCACATCTGTTTGCTGAAACCCATTTGACTTTGGCCTTGGAACTCAACTTGGCCATGAATGTACATTTGCTAGCTGGATAATTGAACATCTGAAGGAGGAATTTCTGGAATGCCTTTTTGTGGCATAGATATTTGAAGGGAGCAAACTCCAATAGTGTTTTTAAACTATTGCATTCTGGGACAAGATGGAAGTATAAGGAGTTCATTGAAATAAAAACATTGATTATGCAACTTTTAAGGGGAAATTGCCTTTTTTTTAAGGAAACAATTTTACAAACCTTTTGATGCTTCATCAGTGTTCTTTTGTCTCTTGATGTATGGTGAACACTGAACAATGATGAAAAGACAGTTTAATTTGGCCTCTGGCAAGTCATTGGCCCAAGAAAAAAAAATATTGACATGATTTGTTGTATGCCCAAGAATTTCGTTCTTGCCATTAAGAGATTAATAATGATTAATATGATTAATAATGATCACGCCAATTAGACCCATTGTTTCAATAATAATTCTCATTTGTACTCGCTTTTTGTTAAATGTCAGTAAATGGGTAAAATCCTGTAGTGTCAAGTTGTTCCAGCATAAACTGGACCCTACAGTGGAAATATTTAATTTAAATGAATTAAAAGCTTCCTATCCATCCACCATATTCCCCTTCAGATACTGAAGTTCCCTTAAGGCTTCCTTTTGTTCTAGGAAAGCCTTTGAGATCCTCAGGATTCCCCCTTCTCTCTCTCTCTCTCTCTCTCTCTCTCTCTCTGTAGAATATAATAGTCAAGAATCTCCATTGGATTGCCACCACCAGTCTTAATCTCTGTTCACAGTGGTCTATATTTGTCAGTTATTATTTTATATCATTTGTTCATTTACAAGCAATTGTGTTCAAT